CCATAGATTCAACACAACCCCAATCAAAATCCCAACAAGTTACTTTGTGGGTGCCCACAAACTCATTCTGAGGTTTATATAGAGAGGCAAAAGACAGAAGAGCCAACATAGTATCAAAGGAGAAAAATTAAAAGCTAGAGAACTAACACTACCCAACTACAAGACGTACTATAAACCTACATATCCTGTGGTCATCATTCACATCAATATAGAAGAGCCTTACAGCAATATGACTTTATTTATCCCTCCTCTGCCCTCTGTGCTAGATTTATATATATTTTCACTTCTACATTCTTTTTACTTCTACATTTATATGTATATATTCTTCTACATTTGCTTTTAAAAAGCCAAAAGTCTTTTTTTTTTTTTTAAGTTAAAAAAAGTCTCATATTTGTCCACATATTTACATTCTCTGGTTCTCTCCATTTATTTCTGGCAATCTGAATTTTCATGTGGAATTCTTTCCCTTCAGTCTAAAAAACTTCTTGTAGTGTTTTTTGTAGTATAGGTCTTCTAGCGTTCTTTCAGCTTTTGTCTGAAAGTGTCTCAATTCGGCTTTTTTTTTTTTAATTGAGGTATAGTTGATATATAACCTTATATTAGTTTTAGTGCACAATATAATGATTCTATATTTGTATATATTACAGAATGATCACCACAATAAGTCTAGTAAACTTCCATCATCATACATAGAAACCTTTTTTTTCTTGAAATGATAAATTTTAAGATCTACTCTCTTAGCAACTTTCAAATATATAATACAGTATCATTAACTATACTCACCATGCTGTACATTACATCCCAATAACGTATTTATCTTCTAACTGGAAGTTTGTAACTTCTGACCCCCTTCACCCATCTTGCCAACCTCCCATCCCTGCCTCTGGCAATCACCAGTTTGTTCTCTGTATCTATAAGCTTGATTTTTAGATTTCATGTATAGGTGAGCATGCAATATTTGTCCTACTTTGTCTGACTTATTTCACGTAGCATAATACCTTCAAGGTCCATCCATGTTGTCTCAGATGGCAAGAGTTTTTTCTTTTCCTTTCTTTTCTTTCTTTTTTTTTTTTAAGATTTTATTTTTAAGTAATCTCTACACCCAACATGGGGCTCGAACTTATGCCAAGAGATCAGGAGTTGCATGCTCCACCAACTGAGCCAGCTAGGCACCCCAAGATTTTTCTTTTTTTATGACTGAAAAATGTTCCATGGTATATATATATATATATACCACAATTTATCTGTTCACCCTTAAATGGATACTTACATTGTTTCCCTATCTTGGCTATTGTAAATAATGCTGCAGTGAACATGAGGAGGGTGCATATATATTTTTGACTTATTGTTTTTATTTTCTTTGGATAAAAACTCAGAAGCAGAATTGTTGGATCATATGGTATTTCTATTTTCCTTTCTTCTTGAATCAATTTTGGTAATTTGTATCTTGAAGAATTTGTCTATTTTATCTAGTTGTCTAATTTTTTAGCTTGAAGTTGTTTACAATATTTCCTTTGCATTATTTTAATTTATCTAAGGTCCAAAGTGATGTTTCCTCTTTAATTCCTGATTTTGATCATTTGTACCTTCTTTTTCCTTTGTCAGTCTAGCTAGGGACATCTATTTTATTGATCTCAAATAATTAATTTTTATTTCATTGGTTTTCTCTAATGTTTTTGTTTTCTATTTAATTATTTTCCACTTCAATCTTTTTTATTTCATACATTCTACTTACTTTTGGTTTGATTTACTTCTCTTTTTGTAAGTTGTTAAGGTGGAAGTTTTTATTGTCAATTTTAGGTAATTCTTTCTAATATATTTTTTTAAAGACTTTATTTATTTGACAGAGAAACACAGCGAGAGAGGGAACACAAGCAGGGGGAGTGAGAGAGGTAGAAGCAGGCTTCCTGCCGAGCAGGGAGCCCAATGTGGGGCTGGATCCCAGGACCCTGGGATCATGACCTGAGCTGAAAGCAGATGCTTAACGTCTGAGCCACCCACGCACCCCTCTTTCTAATATTTTTAAAGCTATACATTTCCATCTGTGCCCATCACATCCTATTAATATTGTTATGCTGTGTTTTCATTTTTATTCACTTTAAGATATGTTCTAAGTCCCCTTATGTTTACTTCTTTGACTCAAGATTATTGTTTGCATAATATATCTTTTTCATCTTTTTACATTCAGCCTGTTTCATCCAAAGTATGGTTCCTTGTAGACACCAAATAGTTGGATCTTGCTTTTTTTTTTAAATCCAGTAAGATAATCTTTGCCTTTTGAATTTAGACCATTCACATTACACATAATTACTGATATAGTTGGACTTATGTCTACCATTTTGTTATTTGTTTTCTATAAGTGTCATGTCTTTTGTTTTTCTGTTCATTCTTTACTGCTTCTTTTATGCTAACCAAATATTGTTGGTGCACTATTTCAATTTCCCTGTTGATTTTTTAGTTATATTTTAAAGGTTTTTAGTTTTAGTGATTTGTCTGTGGATTATAATAATTATCTTCAACTTTTCACAATCTACTTCAGTTTAATATTGACTTAATTCCTGTGTTATGTAGTAGCTTTGAGCCAATAGACCTCTATATGCTATAAACTCAACAATATTTTGTTATACTTATTGCTCTTAATAATCTTAGCTTTTTTTAAATGAATGTATATATATGTACATATATATATACAATCTTTTATACCTAGATATTTATTTTGTTATACTTATTGCTCTTAATAATCTTAACTTTTTAAAAATGTACATGTGTATATATATGTATATGTACATATATATGTATATATATACATATACATACATATATATATATATATACATACACACAATCTTCTATACTTAGATATTTATTTACCATTTCCAGTGCCCTTTATTGCTTCTTACTGATCCAAATCACCATCTTGTGTCATTTCCTTTCAACTTAAAGCATTTTCTTTAGTATTTCATTAGTGGGGGTGAATTTTTTCTATTTTTGTTTGTCTGGGAATGTATTTCAGCTTCACTTGAAGAATAGTTTTACTACATATTAAATTCTTGATTGACAGGTTTTTTTCCGCACTTTTTTTTTTTTTTAAGTAGGCTCCATGCCCAGTGTGGTGCCCAGGGAAGGAATTGAACTCACAACCCTGAGATCAAGACCTGAGCTGAGATCAAGAGTCAGATGCTCAACTGACTGAGCCACGCAGGTGCCCCCTTTTCTGCACTTTGAAATGTCACTCCACTGCCCTTTGGCTTTTGTTTTTTCTGATGAAAATGCTGCTGTTAATTGCATTATTGTTCCCCTGTACATGATGAGACATTTTCTTGCTACTTCCAAGATTTTCCTTTTGTCTTTTGTTGCAATTTGATGATGATGATGATGTCTCTAGGTGAGAATCTCTTGTGCTTATTCTACTTGGGATTTGTTGAGCTTCTTATAAGTTAATGTTTTTTATTAACTTTGGGAGGTTTTCAGACATTATATTTTCAAATATGTTTCTGCCCCTTTATATCTTTCTCTTCTCTTCCTGGGACTTCTTTTATGCATATGTTAGTACTCTTGATGGTATCCCATAGGTGTCTGAGGCTCTGTTCATTTTTCTTTATTCCTTTTTTCCTTTAGTTTTTCAGATTGATTAATTAATCTCTATTGATCTATATTCAAGTTCACTGATATTTTCTTTCACAAGCTCAAAAACGCTGTTGAGCCTCTCCAGCCAACTTTTCATTTCAATTGTTGTACATTTCAATTCCAGATTTCCATTTTTAAATAAATTTTATCTCTTTATTGATATTCTTTATTAAATGACACATTGTTGCATTTTCATTATGTGAACATATTTAAAGTGGTTGTTTTGAAAACTTTGTTAATCCAACACCTGGATTCATTTACTCATTGTCTATTGACTTCTTTTTTTTTTTTTTCTGAATATGGGTTGTATGTTCCCATTTCTTTGCATGTCTAGTAAGTTTAAGTTGAAAATGAAACATTTTAGGGCACCTGGGTGGCTCAGTTGGTTAAGCGACTGCCTTCAGCTCAGGTCATGATCCTGGAGTACCGGGATCAAGTCCCGCATCGGGCTCCCTGCTCGGCGGGGGGTCTGCTTCTCCCTCTGACCCTCTTCCCTCTGGTGCTCTCTGTCTCTCATTCTCTCTCTCAAATAAATAAATAAAATCTTTAAAAAAAAAAGAAAAGAAAAGAAAATGAAACATTTTAGTTACACATTATGGCAACTTTGAATTCAGTTTTATTTTCTTAAGGTGGTTGTTGTTGTTGTTGTTTGGGTAATTTGCATGTACTTAAATTGGTGGAATCATTCTGCCCCATGTTTTGCAGCAGCTGATGTCTCTTAGTTTTTGTTTGTCTTTAGCCTGTCTTCCTAAGGGTTTCTCTTTTGTCTGCATAGCTTAATAGTCACCTAATGATTTAGGGGAGACATTGTGTTTAAGCCATTAAGGCTTCTACCCTCTGCCAAGTGATCTGTAGTTGGGTTGAAGAAGGCATTCAAAATTCCTGCTGGTAATCAAGTCTCACATCATTTTTTTTTTTTTTTACTTTTTGCCATACTCTCTGGAGTCTTCTCTGCACTTGCATACTTTCCCAATCAGCCACAGATATGTGGAGAACTTACCTCAACCTTTCTGAATCTGTCATATCTAAGGTCTCCCAGTTAAATTTTTAGCTTGTCTGCTACTCATATCAACTTGAATTGCAACCTCAAACTAGCACCACTGCATGTTTTTTTCTGCTGATTCTGAAACCAGTCTGCCATTTTTAGCCAGCAAAGTCAGGGTTTTCTCCCTCCACTCCATATCAAATCTGCTCCACCTCCTCTGGCAACAAAGCAACTGGTTTTTAATCTAGCTCCATCTGGTAAAACTAAAGTTTTTCCCAAATGAAGTAAGTGAGGGAAAATGAGGGGAGGAGTAATAGCAATCCCAGGCAGGAAGGCCTCAGACTTTCAGCAGTCCTACCCAAAACCCTGGCTTTTTTTTTTTCTTTAGGAATAAATGCTTCTCTCAGGGAAGTACAAATCAAAACCACAATGAGATACTACCTCACACCTGTCAGAATGGCTAAAATTAACAACACACAAGAAACAAGGGGTGTTGATGAGGAAGCAGAAAAAGGAGAATCCTCTTGCACTGTTGATGGAAATGCAAAACTGGTGCATCCACTCTGGAAAACAGTATGGAGGTTCCTCAAAAAGTTAAAAATAGAACTACTCTACGATCCAGCAATTACAATACTAGGTATTTACCCAAAGAATACAAAAATACAGATTCGAAGGGGTACATGCACCCTAATGTTTACAGCAGCATTATCAACAATAGCCAAACTATGGAGAGAGCCCAATGTCCATCAACTGATGAATGGATAAGGAAGATGTGATATATATGTGATATATATGTATATATCACATCTTCCTTATATATATATAATTATATATATATAAAATTGAATATTAATCAGCCTTCAAAAAGAATGAAATCTTGCCATTTGCAATGACATGGATGGAGCTTCAGTGTATTATGCTAAGCAAAATAAATCAGTCAGAGAAAGACAAATACCATATGATTTCACTCATATGTGGAATTTAAGAAACAAAAGCTACTCTAAGATATAAAATGAAGTAAATCTCGTAATATTACCATAACTATATTATGAGAATAGTTTAACACTTTAAAGGACTCACATATACTTTTAAAATATTTTTTTAAATAATAATACTTTGGCTCTTCCCCTAAGCGGCCTGAGGTGACCTCAGAAAATGTTTCGCTATTCGCTTGACCCAGAAAACCCTACAAAATCATGCAAATCAAGAGATTCAAATCTGTGTATTCACTTTAAGAACACGTGTGAAACTTCCCAGGCCATCAAGGGTAGGCATATCCGAAAAGCCACCAAGTATCTGAAGGATGTCACTTTGCAGAAGCAGTGTGTGCCATTCTGTCGCTACAATGGTGGAGTTGGTAGGTGTGCCCAGGCCAAACAGTGGGGCTGGACATAGGGTCGGTGGCCCAAGAAGAGTGCTGAATTTTTACTGCAAATGCTTAAAATTCAGAGAGTAATGCTGAACTTAAGGGTTTAGATGTTGGTTCTTTGGTCATTGAGAACATCCAGGTGAACAAAGCCCCCAAGATACAGCACAGAATTTACAGGGCTCATGGTTGGATTAACCCACACATGAGCTCTCCCTGCCACATTGAGATGATCCTTACTGAAAAAGAGCTGATTGTTCCTAACCAGAAGAGGAGGTTTCACAGAAGAAAAGATATCCCAGAAGAAACTGAAGAAACAAAAACTTATGGTCCGGGAGTAAATTCTGCATAGAATAAATGCAAATAAAAATAAAAAGAGAATGTTGGTTGTCTTTTATTATTAAACATATTTCAAGTATCCTCAAAAAATAATAATAATACTTTGTTAAAAACTTGTCCCATAAATTCATAGGGACTTTGGAATATATGTTAAACAGATATCTCTTCAATTATACTAGCAAGCAACATTAGTCTATGCTATGTATTATTCATTATATAGGACTATTAATATGATATTTGATAAAATAGAATTCATCTTTTGTACATATGTATCTATGTCTATGTAGATATATAGATACATGTTTTTTTTTATATTTCAGGAGTTGCATTTTTTATGGCATGGTGTGTAGTCTGGTCATTCTCAGGCCCTGAAGTTCTCCCTGGTGGAAATTTATTTGGACTATTAATTATCTTTTATAGTGCCATTATTGGGGGGAAACTTTTGGAACTCATTAGAATACCTTCAGTGCCTCAACTTCCACCTCTTCTTGGTAAGTGTACAGTTAGCTCTTATTTTTTTGTTATTAACTATGTGCAAATTATGAACATACTCTAGTCAGAATAGATATAATTTAGAAATATTTCAATGTAATATGATCTTTATGTATGTATTTACTGTATATGTATGCATATAGCTCATTTATAGAACTATTTATTCTTTCTACACATGAGCACACAGATTTTTTTTCTGAAATATATTTTTGAAATAATTTAAATATATTCAATATATGATTCCTGTTGCCTTATTGTTTAATAGGACATTTTTTAGTTAATTTTAAATATATTGTAGAAAAGACTGAATTTTTCTATAGATAGCCTAACTCAAATACAATTGTAAGATTCAAATACTATAGTGATTAGGGCATAAGAAGGTTTTATGGTTTTTGAGTAAGCTATTTGAGTAAGCTATGTATATTCATGGATACATGATCTGCCTAACTAGTATTATATCCTATTTCTTCATTACCATTAGTTTATAACTCTCCATCTGGACAGAGGGAAATTAGTGGAAGAACTTCTATTAGTGCTGTCTCATATCTTCTAAGTATTCAATACACCCAAATATTCAGTACACTGTCATTAGAGATAATCACTCCATCCTATTGCTAATACCCTTTCTATGTCCACAACACCCTTTCAGCACCTGCTAAGTATTTATTGAATCTTCTTTTTCTCCAAAACTTCCACTCTTGTCCTAGCTTAGGCTATTTGTTTTCCAACTCTTCCATGGACTATGGCAGAGCCTTCTAATTGTTCTCTCCTCCAGTTTTGTGTCTATCTAATTCATCAAGACCATCACAGAAAATACAAGACTCATTATGTCACTTCCTCCTAAAACTTCCCTATGGTGCATTACTCTGCCAAAGCAATGGGAGTAGAGGCTGCAGGGGGGTTAGCTTCATATTTTCTGGCCCCTCCTGCCCATTCTCCCACTCCTATCCGTGCCCTTTATGTTCCAACAACACTGAATTACTTGTTGCAGCCTTTTGAGATATGTCATTTCTTATCTCCGTTCCTTTACTTATGCTGCCTCCTCTATTTGTATGTAAGCTACCCTTCACCGAAGCAATGAGACGTAGTGTGTTGGAAGAAGGGAAATTAAACATTTCTCTTTCCTAACTTAGAAAAATGAGCTGAATCAGACATGCCTATTTTCTTTCTTTTAAGGGATGTTACTGGCTGGTTTTACTGTCAGGAATGTTCCATTCCTCAGTAATTACATCCATGTTAATAACACGTGGTCTTCAACTTTAAGAACCACTGCCCTTACCGTTATCCTAATACAAGCTGGGCTTGGACTCGATCCACAGGTAGATTTCTAATTATATCTTGAAAAAAAATATTTTAAATATTAGAGGCTAGTAAAAAAGAAAAAGAGGCAAAATTTTTGTTATAGCTGTTCCAAGTGAAGCCTGTAAGCAAAACTAAGATAGAGAAAAGGGTTTTGCAGAAATACTGGCATCTTACAATTTCTACTTCTGGTCACCATTATTACTGATATGAAGAGAATTATTATGATGTAAGATCTCTATTAGAGATCATCTTTAATCATGTGAGATCTTTATTAGAGCTCATCTTTAATTATGTGCATAGAAATACATGTCCCTTGTACAGCATTTGTATTATTTGGGAGCTGCAGCTTTTCTATGGAGAACTATTTACTTTTCAATTAATAAAGGATAAGGCCCACTCCTAAACTGTTTTTGCTTTTCTTTTGTTTTGTTTTTCAGAGGGGTTAAGAATTTTGGTAATATTTTTTGTTTCGTGACATTTTCCACCCCACAGAAGTATGTGCCTGATTACCTTTGCATTATTGTAGAAGCTAATCTTTTTAAATATTTCTTAAAATATTAATATCTAGGAATCATAAATCTATTTGGGTTTTAAAAAGATGACTATTCATGAGTATAACAGTACTCAAACAGCAAATAGATGAGTGTAGTGGAAATATGTCAAGAGAATAAAGACAGGGGCACCTGGGTGGCTCCGTCGGTTAAGAATCTGCCTTCTGCTCAGGTCATGATCCCAGGGTCTTGGGATGGAGCCCCCACTTCAGGCTCTCTGCGCAGCAGGGAGCCTGCTTCTCCCGCTCCCTCTGCAGCTCCCCCCTGCTTCTGCGCTCTCTCTCTCTGTGTGTCAAATAAATTTAAAAATCTTTTTTAAAAAGAGCATAAAGACAGTGATAATTTATTATATTCTCCAGTAGAAAAATCAAACCAATGAGAAAATTTTAAAGTTCTCCGTTTTAGTGAGTTATGCTGTCTTTAAGTGATTTTCTCTTTTGGCACATTGATATTTTCTATTATAATTATTAAATTGATCCAACAAGTCATTTCTAAAAGTTAACTGATGGAAATAAACCTATAGGTTACTTTCATTATACTATTTACAAGGAAGATTAAGAAGGTAGAAATAGTTATTTAATTACAGACAAATGGATCTTTTAAAATAATTTAAATACAACAATGTTTTATAAAATGTGAAATAGTTTCTAATTCCAATCTGACATATAAAATGAGGTGCATTAGCATTTCAAGCCCGGTGGAATAATCTGGAAGATTTAGTTTAGTAAAAGCTAATTAATCAAAAAAGACTATATATTTCAGAATTTACTTAAATAATTTTCTTGTTGGCCATTATAAGTTTGTCTAAATGTGATTATTTTTATATTTCAGGCTTTGAGGCATTTGAAGAGAGTTTGTTTAAGGTTGGCTATTGGTCCCTGCCTCATGGAGGCATGTTCAACTGCTGTTGTTTCCCACTTCCTTATGAATTTTCCCTGGCAATGGGGATTTCTATTGGGGTAACTTTTTCTTATTTTCTCTACAAAATTTCCAGTTAAGGATGCTTGGTTTAAAATTACCGAAATAATCAGAATATTATATAGACAAATTTCTCATTAAAATTATTTTCACAATGGTAGGAAACCTTGAAAATTGGTTGGTCAGAAGCAGAGCCATGTCCTTAATCTACCATATCATTAACAAACATGCATAGTCCCTAAATGTTTAGAGCAAGATAATTCACTTCATCAATTTATTCCTTCTCTCCTATGTGATAATCTATTTCTACTTTTTAACCCATTCAGTGGCCTTTTCCTTATACATTGTATGTATATATTATATACATATATGAGAGAGATTTTGTATAGATATAGATATTGTAACAAAAATACTCTTTCCCTATATCCAATGTCCCATCTATTTTCCCACATCCATTTCCCTTCATGTCCCAATTCCTCAGAATAAGTCTATAATCACCCTCTCTAGATCCTGAACTCATTTTAATTTTTCAATGCATTTACCTTTTGCCTCTACTTATCCATTCGAATGTATAGTAAAGTTCACCCATTGCATACTTACTGCCAAATGCAGTGGATTCTTTAAAATTAATTATTATTATAAAAGTAATACCCATGTGCATTTTACTTTTGAAAAATTAGAACTTTACAGACACAAGTAAAAAGCCTTTTAACCATGCCTTCAAATCCTAGTGCCCATGCCCCTACCCAAAGTAACAACTTTTATGAGTTTTATATTACCATTCTAGACCTGTAAAATTAATATTCCATATGATTGATACGAAAATAGATAAAATAATACTCTGTTTTCCAGGGATATATCTACTGTATACATACATATTATATAAATCCTATCGAAGAATGTATCACTTTCTTTGCAATTTTCTCTTTACTCAACAGTATTCTTGAGATTATACACATTAAAAAATGTAGTTCACTTGTTTTTGTATAGTGTTACATTGTATGATAAGACCAGATTTTATTTACAGTGTTACAACAAATACATTTTATTTGTCTCATTTTGCACAAATATGAGTTTTTCTAGAATAGTTACCTAGGTTATGTGCATTTTCAGTTTTGATGGATACTATCAAAATGCCTTCAACACATACCAATTTGCCCTATCACCAGCAGGGTTGAAAATAACTGTTATTCTCTCACATCCTTGCAAATTCTTGATATTACCAAACTTTTATGATTTCTTCCAATCTGGTAAATGAAAAATGATATTTCATTGTTTTTTTAATATGCATTTATGTGTTTATTAATGAGCTTGGGTATTTTTATACTAACCTCTTAATATCCTTTTTCTATTTTTCTGTTATTCTTTTCTTTCTTATTATTTCAACATTTTGTTACAAGTATTGCAAATATCTTGTCCTAGTACACCACTAGATATATAACTTTGCTTATGGTGCCTTTCTTTTTATCTAAAAAGGGTATTTTATTATTTCCAACAGATAGAAGAGCAAATACATAAAACCATTTCTTGACCTTGAAAATCAAAAAGAAAAACGAGGGCATGGGGAGACAGAGTGTAACTGCTTTTGCTATACCAAAGGGTTTTTTAATGTAATCGAATTTATCAAAATTTCTGTTTCTGCTTAATGTCTTTCTATGTGTCATTCAAAAGGTCCTTTTTAAACTATGATCACAAATATATTCTTTTATATTTTATTCTTATTATGTTTAAGTTAATTTTTTTAAAGATTTTATTTATTTATTTGAGAGCGAGAATGAGAGAGAGAGAGAGAGAGAGAGCATGAGAGGGGGAGGGTCAGAGGGAGAAGCAGACTCCCTGTCGAGCAGGGAGCCCGATGCAGGACTCGATCCTGGGACTCCAGGATCATGACCTGAGCCGAAGGCAGTCGCTTAACCAACTGAGCCACCCAGGCGCCCCTGTTTAAGTTAATTTTTAAAAATTCTTTTAAAATAGAGTTTATTACATGTGAGGATCTAGCTGCATTCTTTTTTTTTTTTTTATTACATATGATGTATTATTTGTTTCAGTGGTACAGGTCTGTGATTCATCAGTCTTACACAACTCACAGAGCTCACCATAGTACATACCCTCCCCAGTGTCCATCACCCAGCCACCCCATCACTCCCACCCCCCTCCACTCCAGCAACCCTCAGTTTGTTTCCTGAGATTAAGAGTCTCTTATGGTTTGTCTCCCTCTCTGGTTTCGTCTTGTTTCATTTTTCCCTCCCTTCCCCTATGATCCTCTGTCTTGTTTCTCAAAATCCTCATATCATTGAGATCATATGATACTTATCTTTCTCTGATTGACTTATTTCGCCTAGCATAATACCTTCTAGCTCCATCCACGGTTGCAAATGGCAAGATTTCATTTTTTTGATGGCTGCATAATACTCCATTGTATATATATATACCACATCTTCTTTATCCATTCATCTGTTGATGGACATCTAGGCTCTTTCCATAGTTTGGCTGTTGTGGACATTGCTGTTATAAACCTGGGGGTGCACGTACCCCTTTGGATCACTACATTTTTATCTTTGGGGTAAATACCCAGTAGTGCAATTGCTGGGTCATAGGATAGCTCTAGTTTTGACTTTTTGAGGAACCTCCATACTGTTTTCCAGAGTGGCTGTACCAGCTTGCATTCCCACCAACAGTGTAGGAGGGTTCCCCTTTCTCTGCATCCTCACCAACATCTGTTGTTTCCTGACTTGTTAATTTTAGCTGTTCTGACTGGTGTGTGGTGGTATCTCATTGAGGTTTTGATTTGTATTTTCCTGATGCCAAGTGATGTTGAGCACTTTTTCATGTGTCTGTTAGCCACTTGGATGTCTTCTTTGCAGAAATGTCTGTTCATGTCTTCTGCCCATTTCTTGATGGGATTAGTTGTTCTTTGGGTGTTGAGTTTGATAAGTTCTTTATAGATTTGGATACTAGCCCTTTATCTGATATGTCATTTGCAAATATCTTCTCCCATTCTGTCAGTTGTCTTTTGGTTTTGTTGACTATTTCCTTTGCTGTGCAAAAGCTTTTTATCTTGATGAAGTCCCAATAGTTCATTTTTGCCCTTGCTTCCCTTGCCTTTGGCGATGTTTCTAGGAAGAAGTTGCTGTGGCTGAGGTCGAAGAGGTTGCTGCCTGTGTTCTCCTCTAGGATTTTGATGGACTCCTGTCTCACATTGAGGTCTTTCAACCATTTGGAGTCTATTTTTGTGTGTGGTGTAAGGAAATGGTCCAGTTTCATTCTTCTGCATGTGGCTATCCAATTTTCCCAACACCATTTGTTGAAGAGACTGTCTTTTTTCCATTGGACATTCTTTCCTGCTTTGTCAAAGATGAGTTGACCATAGAGTTGAGGGTCCATTTCTGGGCTCTCTATTCTGTTTCATTGATCTATGTGTCTGTTTTTGTGCCAGTACCATACTGTCTTGATGATTACAGCTTTGTAATAGAGCTTGAAGTCCGGAATTGTGATGCCACCAGCTTTGCTTTGCTTTTTCAACATTCCTCTGGCTATGCGGGGTCTTTTCTGGTTCCATACAAATGTTAGGATTATTTGTTCCATTTCTTTGAAAAAAGTGGATGGTATTTTGATAGGGATTGAATTAAATGTGTAGATTGCTCTAGGTATTATAGACATTTTCACAATATTTGTTCTTCCCATGATCATGGAGTGTTTTTCCATTTCTTTGTGTCTTCCTCCAATTTCTTTCATGAGTATTCTATAGTTTTCTGAGTACAGATTCTTTGCCTCTTTGGTTAGATTTATTCCTAGGTATCTTATGGTTTTGGGTGCAATTGTAAATGGGATTGACTCCTTAATTTCTCTTTCTTCTGTCTTTTTGTTGGTGTATAGAAATGCCACTGATTTCTGTGCATTGATTTTACATTCTGCCACTTTACTGAATTCCTGTTCTAGCAGTTTTGGGGTGGAGTCTTTTGGGTTTTCCACATAAAGTATCATATCATCTGCAAAGAGTGAGAGTTTGACTTCTTCTTTGCCGATTCGGATGCCTTTTATTTCTTTTTGTTGACTGATTGCTGAGGTTAGGACTTCTAATACTATGTTGAATAGCAGTGGTGATAGTGGACATCCCTGCCGTGTTCCTGACCTTAGGGGGAAAACTCTCACTTTTTCCCCATTGAGTATGATGTTCGCTGTGGGTTTTTCTTTTCTTTTTTTTTTTTTTTTTTTAAAGATTTTATTTATTTATTTGACAGAGAGAGACACAGCAAGAGAGGGAATACAAGCAGGGTGAGTGGGAGAGGGAGAAGCAGGCTTCCCGCTGAGCAGGGAGCCGGTCGCGGGGCTTGATCCCAGGACCCTGGGATCATGACCTGAGCCGAAGGCAGACGCTTAACAACTGAGCCACCCAGGCGCCCCTCGCTGTGGGTTTTTCATAGATGGTTTTTATGATACTGAGGTATGTACCCTCTATCCCTACACTGTGAAGAGTTTTAATCAAGAAAGGATTGGATCTAGCTACATTCTTTTCCACATGAATAGGTAGTTGTCTCAACACCATTTATAGAAAACTTCTTTCTTGTCCCCATTGATTTGAAATGTTGATTTTATCATGTAACAAATCCCATAGATTTGTTTTTATACTTTGTGTTCTATTTTCTTCCAATCTATTTTCTCTATTTCTATGTCACTATTCTAGGGTTTTAACTATTTTGCCTTTACAAAAACAGTATCTTCTTGTTTACATTGACTTGGTTTTTCATTCTAAGCTCTTATTCTCCCAAATGAATTTTAGAATCAGCTAGTCAAGTTCAATGAAAAATCCTGAGAATATTTTAATTGGCTAGCAACAAATTAATAAATTAATTTGGAGGAGAGGGGACAATGTCATAATATTGAGACATCTCCCCAATTATTTAGGTGTTATCTTAAGTTCTACAGTGTTTATAATTTTTAGAAAGATCTAGATTATCTTCATAGTTTTGTTCTTAGGTATTTTGTGTTTTTTATTGATGTTATTGATAGATTTTTTCATAACATTTTCTAATTAGTTTTT